GTCGTTTAGAATTGATCGTCATTACAACATTGCTGTTATTCTGCACAATAATATCCTGGTTCTTCTCACTTCACTTTGCATCAGTTCATATTGGTCATGCCATGTATTTTCTGAAGCCACCCCGTCATACTTTCTTATAGCACAATGTTACTCCATTACAATCATATATCATCTTCAGCAGCGTTTGTGATTTCTGATAGGTGTAAGGTGGTACCTTAGAATTGTTTTTAATTTGTGTTTCTCTTAATCAATAGTGATTTAGATAATTTTTCATGTAATTATATATAACTGATTTATTCTTCTAAAAACTGCCTGTTCATGTCGTTTGACCATTTATCATTTGGGGAATGGCTCATATTTTTATAAATTTGACTCACAGCCCTAAATATTTGAGAAATAAGGCCTTTATCAGAGAAACTTAACTGTAAAAAATTTTTATGTTCATTGTCTATGGTATCTTTTAGCAAAGTGTTGTTTCCCTGATTATTTCTTTTAATTCGGTCTGTTTTTTGTTTTTACTTTGTCTGAAATCATGATTGCTACCACACTCTGGGTGTGTTTTTTTATTTCAAATTTATCTCTTGTAAACAGCACATTGTTGGATTCCGGTTTTTTATTCCATTCTGCTCTCTGCTTCCATTTCATGGATGAGCTCTTTACAATCACATTCACAGGTATGATTCTTGTATATTTCCCTTTATTTTCTTCTGTTTATTCCTCCCCCCTGCCCCAGTCTCAAAAGTCTGTTTTCTTTTTGACTACTACCTCCCTTAATCTGCCCTCCTTTTTATCGTCCTCCCTCCCCCATATCTTTTATTCTCTTCCCCTTTTATTTTCCTGTTAGGTAAGAGAGATTTTCATACCCAACTGAGTGTATACATATATATATATATATATATATTTTTTTTTTCTTCCCTCTTTGAACCAATGCTGATGAGAATGAGGTTCAAGTATCCTTCCCATTTCCCTCTCCACTATAAAAGCTCTTCCTTGCAAGCCTCTTTTATGTGAGAACATTTTCCCCATTCTGCCTCTCCCTTCCTTCTTTTCCCAATGCATCCCTCTTTGTTACCTCTCCATTTTTTTTTTGAGATCATCCCAACCTAATTGATTCACACTCATGCCCTCTGTCTATGTAGACTCCTTCCAAATTCCCTAAAAATAACAGAGTTCTTAGAAGTTACATGTATTGTCTTCCCATGTAAAGGTGGACTAGCACCTCTGGTATGAGGGTTTGCCAAGCCATTTTCAGGGCTGCTCATCTACCTTTGGCCTCCATCTGGCACTCAATACTCTCCAGTGACTCCAAGAAGTCATAGCTTGCGTAGCAGCCAAACCCTGGGAAACTGCCTTGGCAGACATGCTAAAGCAGGTTGAAGGTAATTGATGGGCCACAAACCTATCTGTGAGTTAGGGGGATTGTTTACCCTAAGCATGTGAAAAATTCCCCTGGTGGAATGGGAGGATGAAAACAATTTGTTCCAATGGCCATGAAGGCAGCTGAAGTGGGTGCTGTGGAGCGCTTAGAACTTGTTCAGACATTGAAGACACCCTCTTGGGCCATGTCCAGTCATCTTGACTTTTGTCTGGCCACCGGACTTTGCAACTTTGCCTCACTTAAATCCAATTCACCCAGGAGCCAAGACAGTGCCCTGTGTTGTCATTGGTTCTCTTTGAAAATGAAGGACAAACAACAATCATCTTCCCATTTAGGAATGTAAACAGTTTAATTTTATTGAGTCTCATGATTATTCTTTCATGTATTCGTTTTTATACTTGTGTGTTTGAATGTCAGATTTTCTATTCAGCTCTGTTTTTCTTTTTTTTTTTTCAGCAGGAATACTTGAAAGTTCTGTATTTCATTAAATTTCCATTTTCCCCCCCAAAGGATTACAACCTGTTTTGCTGAGTAGGTGATTCTTGGTTGTAATTCTAGCTTTTTTGCCCTCCAGAATATCATATTCCAAGCTCTTCATTACTTTAATGCAGAAACTGCTAAATTTTATGCTATCCTGACTTTGGCTCCATATTTGAATTATTTCTTTCTGGCTGCTTGCAGTATTTTTTCCTTTACCTGGGAGCTCTGGAATTTGACTAATATTCCTGTGAGTTTTCATTTTGGGATCTCTTTCTGGAGTTGATGGGTAGATTCTTTCAATTTCTGTTTTAGCTTCTGATTCTAGGGTGTCAGGATAATTTCTTTTGATAATTTCTTGAAAATTTTATTTTAATCATGGCTTTCAGCTAATCCAATAATTCTTAAATTATCTCTCTTCAATCTATTTTGTAGGTCAGTTTTTCCAATAAGATATTTTATGTTTTCTTCTTATTTTTTTTTCATTCTTTTGAGTTTATTTTATTGTTTCTTGAGTCATTAGTTTCCACTTGGCCAATTCTAATTTTTAAGCACTTACTATTTTCAGTGAGCTATTGTACTTCTTTTTCCGTTTGGCTAATTCTGCTTTTTAAGGAGTTCTTTTCTTCAGCATATTATTGTGCCTCTTTTATTATTAGGCCAATTTTGTTTTTTAAAATATTATTTTCTTTAGTATTTTTTGTGTCTCTTTTACCAAGCTGTTAATTTTGTTTTCATAATTTTCTTTCATCTCTCTCATTTCTTTTCCCAAGTTTTCCTCTAACACTCATCTCTTTCTTTAACTCTTCCAGGAATTCTTGTTGGGCTTTAGTACAATTAACTTTTTTCCTTTAAGGTTTTGTTTATAGCTGTTTTCACAGTTTTGTCTTTTTCTTAGTTTATGTCTTGGTCTTTCCTACCATTGTAGTGTCTTTTTATTTTCAAGTTATTTTTTTTTTCTTGTTTTCTCATTCTTCCAGCTTATTTCTTGACTTTGAACTTTTTGTTAAAGTTAGGCTTCAGCTCACCTCGTAGTGGGGAGGCACTGTCCCAGGCATCAAGCTTTTTCATGCTTCTATTTTCAGAGTTAGTTCTGTGGGTTTTTGGTGTTTTCAAGATGAAGTTATCTGGAGAGAGGTGTCACTGCTCTCTTGGTCTGTGCTCTATGAATGACTCTCCTGTACTCCCCTGCAGCCCTAAGCACTAGTAGTCTTCTCTACCCTGGAACTGTGCCCAGGTCCTTTGCTCTCGCAGTTAAAATTGCATGCTCTCTTCACATTAAAACTAACCAGGGCTCCTACTCTTTTGTGACAGACCACAAGCACTCCTCTCTGCCTTGGAACTAGGGCCAAAACATATGGGCAACAGATGTGCCAATCAGTGTGGGCTGCTCCGAGTGACAGACTTGGGTCCCTTGTAATGTCTTTCTGACCACTTGCTCAACCTCCTTACTGTCTCTGGGCTGAGAACTCCTGAAGCTGCTGCTGCTGCTGCTGCTGTCCTGGCCCCACCGCTGGTGCCTCTGCCCACTCTGGGCCATCTTCCACCTTGTCATAGATTTATCCTGCCAGCCTCTTAAGTTGTCTTAGACTGGGAACTTGTCTCACTTTGACCTTTTGTTGGCTCTGCTGCTTCAAAATCTGATTTGAGGAGTTATTTTAAAATTGTTCGGAGGGAAATGTTGGGAGAGTTCAGCTAGGTTACCTCTGGTATTCTGCCATCTTGTGTCCCTCAGATATGTTTTTGTGAAAGTAAGTAAAACTAACCTACTTTTATTATATGTCTAGCTCAGAAATCACAAATTAGATTTAGGCATCATCTATTATATTTAAATTAACTCTCAGATGGACCTGTAATCTCATCTTTGTGAGTATTTTTGACTACAGATTACACAAACATTCCATACTTTTCCAACCGCTTGTGCCTTTTCCCATTTTCACAAATCTTCCATAGGGCATCTACCCAATACACAATTATTTTTCCTTTGGTTCTTTGAATGTCGCAGAGGTATACTTATTTCTCTTTTTCTTGATATATGACTGTCCTTTTCTGGTCTTTCATGGGTGATTTATACATAGCTATACGTACTATGGTTTTGCTCTGGCAGTCCTTCATGCCTGAAATGTGCCCTTTCCTCACCTCTCTCCTTACTGGAGAATCTTTTGTTTCCTTCAAAATTCAGCTCAAATATCACCTTCTACATGAAACCTTTCCTAATTCCCCTAACTGCTCCACTTTATTACCTTGTATTCATTTTGTATATACTGAAACATAGCACATGCTATTTCTTCCAGCAGACTATAGTCTTGTTGAAAATAGGTAATTTCTTTTTTTTTTAATTGTATTCCCAGTGCTTACCATAGTTCTGGCACTTAATAACTGCTTATTCATTCTTTATACTCACTATGTATTTTTGTTATGCTCTATGAGTCAACTGAAATTTTAATTCTTCTGAGGTGGTGGTATGTGATGAGTTGCAGTTGTAGCATGAACCTATCTCAAAAGACATTAGGTTCATAGCATTTTTTGGGGCATCATCTACTCAAAATCACAGCTTATCAGTCCCCAAAGATATTTTCTTTACCAGAGTAATCAGGGGACACAAAAAGTCATTTACTTGAAATAAAAGGCAAGTTAAACTGCAAAAGATTAAATCAAGCAGGGTTTATCACTATACCCAACAAAAAATGACTGAGGCCTCCCTGCAAATATGTATGAAGAAGAAGAGGAGGAAAGAGTGCTGTTCTTGGCCACTGCCTCCACAGAATAGCATGCAAAAGTGTTCAGTCAGTGGCCTCTGTGGGCCAGGGAAAAATGAGCATCTATTCCTGTTGCCATTATGTTTCAGTTTTTCTCATACTGCTGGTTTTCCAAGGACCTCCAACCTTTTGGAAAGGTGCAAATATCTCCTCTCTATACAGTCCTGGGAAAGAGAGTCTCACAGTTTCTGGCTTTAAAGACTTTTGGGAATATGACATATTTCTATAGATTATTCAACTGTACAGCATCTCTGAGAGAATATTGGTGTTAAGGAGAGAGACTTTTCTAATGGTTACAAGTTTAAGGTTATATTTTGTTTATATTCCGAAAAAATATTTGATGGTACTCTAATGAGGATTTACTTGTGTTTTTTTTTCTCATACAGCTTTTTCTTCACAACATGGAAGTGTTGCTATAGTGACTGGAGGGCTCTCTGGAATTGGCTTTTCTACTGCAAAGCATTTGGCAAAACTTGGCATGTATGTCATAATAGGTAATAATTTTGATAATGAATGTGCATTTTGTATGCTGGGGGAAAAATCGGTTCTTTAGTTTCTAAGATATACCGGGTTGGTTCTTTGAAATATGATTCATAATCAAACACAACCACACAATGTGCTTATGTAAATCCAGCAAAACATAATCAAGAATTGATCTCCAAAGGGGGAAAAAGTTAGGGCCCAAAAGGAATTCATTAACTGGGGAAATAAACGTATTCTGTTTTTCTATGCAATTTACAAAAATCATTGTGTATAAACAAGTGTTTATGATGCTTGTATGTGGGCCACACTCCTATCATTTCTCACATTCTTATTTTCTATTCATCTACAATATTTTCATACTATCAAACCTCGTTTATTCAAAGTTGGGTTTTCTAGTAGACTTCTTTCTCCTTCCTTTTGGACTATTTGTCAACTTCATATCTCAGTAGCTTATCCTAAGTTAGTTGCTTCTCTTTGACAAGGAAAAATAGCATATTATTACACATAGAGATGATATCACAGCTGAAATTAAAGGTTTTCAAATTAGTCATCAGTGCAGAGATTCTTAATTTAGGTTCCGTGAATTTTATGTGTATATATTTGCATGTAAGTATATATCTATATGTATGTATATGTGTGTATATGTGTGTGCATGTATGTGTATATATGTATATATAACCACACACTTATTTCAATATAATTAGTTTTCTTTGTAGTCCTCTGTATTTTAATTTATGCACTTAAAAACAATATTCTGAGAAGGATCCATAGGCTTTACTGACTTCCAAAAGGGTCACAACAATATTAAAGAAACCCTTCAATGAAAGAGCCTTCTTATTATCATATCACTAAGAGATAAAATTTATTGAGTCAAGCTAAAGTCACCATCATGTATTCAAATATGGCCATCTGGCAACTTTGCCAAATCAGGGATGGACAAAACTCTCCAATAATGAACTCAGTTACCTTTCTAAGTGATAAATATCCTTGTTCTTGGAAGGCTTTATATATGAGCTGGGTGACCTCCCATGTCCTTTTAAGGCATGTTATAGTGGATTTTCCTCCATGGGGTAAGATGAGATGATCTCTAAAGTTCTTTCCAATTCTAATATTCTGTAGTTCTTATTTTTAGAAGACTGGAGTTCTGACATAGTCAGGGAAAATTTAAATCTCCAAGGGAAAATGAGATTTTGGGAGTGGTTCTGAATTTACATTCTTCATGGTATTTTAACAACCCTGCTTCCTGCTGATATTTTCTTACTAATTTTTATCTGTACTTGATGAGTTGTTTTTTTATTTGTAAAAGAAAATCTTATTAAGGAATGTTTTCTCTTTCCTTCAGCAATTTTCTTAAGACACTGGCAAAATGTCCCTTTGCTTGTTTTTAAACCAGCTCCTGTCGCCATAAGAGGAGTTCTAGCACTTTCCTTTCCATTAGGGAGCTGAACTCAAGCTCATGAGTTTTAACATTTTTGTGTTTCTTTTAACCTTCCTTTCTGAAAAATGACTGCAATATTTTTCATTTCCCTATTCCGTGGTCCTCCTATATTTTACCTGCCTTTCAAATACAGCAATTTCTTCAAATGATTTCTTGCCTCCTGTGACCCATCTTTCACTTGTGTGGAATAGAGCCTGTCTAATGAAGCATATTTATCAGGATTCACTAACTTTATTTTTTTTCTTTTTTTTAAAAATTTTTTTTAAACATGTGTTTTTAAAACTTTGGGTTCCAGATTTTTTCCCTTCCTCCTTCCCCACCCACCCTCATTGATAAGGCAAGCAACTCAATATAGATTATATATGTTCAGTTATGCAAAACACTTCCATAGTAGACATGCTGTGAAAAGCTAACTCTATTTCCCTTAATCCTATCCCGGCCCCCCCATTTATTCTATTCTTTCTTTTGACCCTATCCCTCCTCAGAAGTATTTGCTTCTGATTACCCTCTTTCCCAATCTGCCCTCCTCTCTATCATCACCCTACTCTCTTGTCCCCTTCCCCCCCCCCAGGCTTCACTAACTTTAGCTTATTACTTTCTCTGCTTCGATGTTTTTCCTTCTTTTCAAAGACTGCTTTTATTTTAAAGTTATTTTTACTTTTATTACCACTTATGTTTTCTTTTCTTCATTGGTGATTGGGGGTGAGGTGAATTGCATTAAAGTTTCTCATAGCCCCTTTTGGTATTCAATTATATTCTTGTTTACAACTGTGTGAATTGTTTGATCTTTTTTTGTTGTTGTTGTTAGGAATTGGTGTTTCTACAATCATTGGAGACAATTTCCTGATAGAGCTAGAGGTCCAGGACTTTCTTTTTTTTAGATTTTTTCCCCCCTCTTTCTTTGCCCTACTCATCTCTATCATCTTCCTTCTCACACTTACCCAAAAGAGAACTGGGGCCATTGCTTCTCCCCCTCCCAACCCTTTACTTTCATCCCTATAGGAATAGATGTGTAACACTGTAAATAAAATTCTAATTTAGATGGAAATAGAATAGGAATTAGACCATGGAAATTGCTGGATATTTTCTTTAGGTTCATAACTGACCCATTTAAAGTTTGCTGATACATGAAGATATGAAAAAATGCAGAGGAAGGTTGAAGATTGATACATTCCTCCTTTACCTCATGGAGGTTGGTCAGTCCTTCTTCCTTAAGTATTCTTTATATGAGTTCGACTTCACCACCTTGCCTGATGGGACTGAACTTCTCATGGCCCAGGAGGCTAGGAGATTGAGTGAATGGAAAGAGAATTAGGGAAGGGAGCTGAGGCAAGGAAGGTTGGGGAAGGAAAGAACAGGATTCCCAATTCAGTCCCAGCTCCTTTTGGAGCAAGAAAGAAACCTGAACCAAGAATCAGGAACCAAACTTCCTGGTATTTCACTTCATTTATTCATTCATTCATTGGTTCATTCATTCAGTAGAAATTTCCACTTAGTATAGACAGTTCTCATTTTACATAAATTTGCATTATGCAAATTTGACTTTGTATAAAGAGTTATGGAAGGCGTAGTAAGATGTATCAAAAACATGTATGAAGAGAGTTTGGAAAAAAGTGTGCCTGCAGTTTATTCCTGATTTTTGTGGATCTGACAAAGATGAAACTTTCAAAGAAATTCCAAGATTATAAAATTAGTACATGAATTAGAGCTAGAAGTAGATGAGAATGATGTCAAGGAGTTGAGTCTCATGGAGAAGAACTGATGAATGAGGATCTGATTGAGCTTCTAGCTGCAAAGAAAGCAGCAGAAAGGGAAGCTTTGGAACCCAAGGTTGAACCCAAAAGGTTCACAATGAAACACTTGGCAAAAGCATTTTGTCATTTGAATGAATTTATTTTCTTGTATGGAAAAGATGGATACATCAAGATTTTTTCATCAAAATTTTTAAAAGTTGGAAGATTAGTTGAGGTAGTATTGTTTGTTGTCATCAGATATGCAAGGAAAAAAAGAGAGCCAATGTCCAGACATCTCTCTTTAGCTTCATTAAGACAGTTGCACAGGCAGCCAACCACCAGTGATACAGGCTAAATGCCATGGGTGGGGAAGGAGCAGTATACTGCATACCTATGTTGACTTTTCTGTACAGTACTGTACATACTTTGTCATTAACTTTACCTTTCATTTTATAATTCTCTTATCATAGTACAGCACTTAATATGTCTGCATTTTAGTACATTTTATGACTTGTGTAAAGGTATTATTTTGTGTATGCCTTTCTTATTTGGCTAATAGGTGGGTAGGGGCAAATTCTCATTATGTAAAAATTGCTTTAGGTCTGCAGAACAGTGTGCTTTAGTAAAATAGCAACCATCTCTGTATGTATACAGGTATTATAGGGTTACCAAAATGAATAATATGCAATTATAATATGATAATATAATAATATGAACAATATGGCTTTAAGAAGAATAGACTTAATATCTATTCCATTTTGGGAAAGACACAGCCTCTCTGGGACTCATTTCTTCAACTGTAAAATGATGCAATTAGACTAGATTTTTCTTCAGGATCCCTCCCTTTGAGCTTTTGTAAGAGGTAATTAGTCAATAAGCATAATAATTATAATATTAGTAACAAGTAGCGATACAGCACCTTAAGGTTTGCAAAACACTTTACAACTATCATCTCCTTTTGTCCTCACAGCAATTCTGGGCAGTAGGTACTGTTATCCCCATTTTACGAATGAGGAAACTGAGATTGAGAGAGGTTAAGTAATTGACACAGCTAATAAATATCTGAGACTGGAATTGAATTCATGTCTTCCTAGCTCCACATTCGACACTCTGTTATGCTATCTAGCTGACTCTACTGTATCTGTACTCTACCTGTGTACTCTATCTGTAATCATTCAACTCAATTCAATAAACATTGATTAAGCACCCACTATGTGCCAGGCACTATGTTAAACACTGGAGATATAAAAAGAGGCAAAAGACAGTCCCTGCCCTCAGAGACCTTAATTAGTCAGTAAGTGTGATGTAGGAGAGATCTTGCTCTTTCGCTGATATTTCGAAAAACCTTAGACTTATTATGAAGTCCAAGATCGAAAAGAAAAAAAATATTATTTAGAAAAAGAAATTAGTTTAGTGTAGAGGAAGGAGAAAGTGTCATTCCTTTGATCTTTGTATGAGAACAGTAAACAGCTGAAATGCTTTTGGGTTGAGAAGACTACTAAATTATTATTATTATTTTTAATGTTTTGTTGATTTTTTTTTTACATCTCTCAGTTCCTAAAGACCTCCCTCCCAACTACCCTTGAAAGAAAATGTAATTAAATAAAGCAAATTAAAGTATTTTCCATGCCTACCTATAGTTTGCCATCTTTCTGCTCAGAAGACAAATATGTATTTACCATTAGTTTTCTGAGTTCAAGACTGGTCATCTTAGGAACTGATAAAATATTACTGAGTATGAGTAGATGGATCTATTGTAGACTTTCTGATAGTGGATCCATTAAAAATCACTTGCATTATGAAGAATACCATTTCCTTATGATTATTGCGAGGTCTGCTT